GGCAGTCAAGTAGTGAATGAGATGAAGAGTGACAAAAGGTACACTCTTTAGCCGGCCCCCTGTTCTCAGGCTTGAAGTTAGAGTGTTTGTTTCGATAGTTGTTGGTAAAGGTATGAAGAACAGCATCAGTAGGTGGCATGGAACGAGTCTGAAGTCTCGTTTCCTCACTTAGTAATTCTGACACGGCATCATTGTAAATTGGAAAGGGATGCCGATGTAGAAGAGAGGCTCTAACATGCTCGAATTTGTCAGACAGTCCCATCAGAAGTGTAATGAGATGTAGTTGGTTGAAATAGGCCCTGAATTGATCAGCGGTGTCATCAAAAATCTGTGGTGTACCAAAGTTTAACTGATCTCTGATAACTTGCATCTCTGAAACATATGAACCAATAGTTTGATCTGGTAATTGGCGCTTCCTTTGAAATTCAGACCATAACTGATATTGATGAGACAGACCTGCAGTTGTAAACCTTTTGGCAAGAAAATCCCATACCTCTTTTGCAGTAGTGTACCCAAGTAGCTGTTGATGAATTTCTGTAGTAGTAGAGCTATTAATAAATCCAAGTATCTTAGCGTTTTTAATGTCCCAATCATCAGRCCGTTTGGCAAAGTCGGTATCTTTTTCATTTGCTCCCTTAGTTGGAACTTGTGTGACACCAGTTACAAAACTGTATAAGCCTTGAGACTTCAAGTGTATAGTCATGTGATGRCACCATAAAACATAGTTTGAACCATCTAATATCACCGAGATAGGTCGATTTTGAATTATTGAGGGAGTTGCCATAGATGTAGAGGTTTGGTTTGCAACAAAACAATCGTGAAAGTAACAATTTTCGGTTTTCAAGATCGTGAAAACACTTTCGGAGAGGGATCGATTAGGAATTTAAGAAGACTCGATTGAATCAGAAGAACAATGACAGAGAAGGTCTAAGAATTAGGAGACTCGATTGACAAAGGAATTAGGGTTAGGTTTCAATTACCTTAATCGTCAGAAAACGTATTCTCAGATGTTGATAGACGAGCGATGATCACGATAACGAGAGCCTGATGCTCTGATACCATGTGAGGATGAATAGTTGAAGCAAAGTTCTATTGAGTATTGGAGAAGATGAGTGCCAAGCAAATTATGGTCACCTCTATCAATTGAACGAATTAAAGGAAATTACATATTCTGGAAAAGGAAAATACATATATACCTAAATAAGAATACGAAAGAACATCTAGGCCCCTACACATATACAGAAAATACATATATACATTAATACCAACAACGAAGCAAGGCCAGCTCAAAAGAAACGACTTACTTTTTGTGTGGAAGGAAATATAAGCGTGGGCAAGACAACATTCTTGCAGAGAATTGCTAACGAAACTCTTGAGCTTCAGGATCTTGTTGAGATTGTTCCTGAGCCTATTGACAAGTGGCAGGACATTGGACCTGATCACTTTAACATATTAGATGCTTTTTATGCTGAGCCAGAAAGGTATGCCTACACGTTCCAAAACTATGTCTTTGTTACAAGAGTCATGCAGGAGAAGGAGTCATCCAGCGGACTTAAGCCCCTCAGGTTAATGGAGAGAAGTGTTTTCAGTGACAGAATGGTATGCATTATGATATTCACTTGGTTATTTCTTCTAGTCTTCAGAAGTTTTGGCATAGACCATGATTTGCACTCAAAAGTAAACAATCTTATGATGGTTTTTTTCTCCTTGAAGTTGCTCTATTTTAAAGCATGAGTTTTTATAAACAATCGTATTGAAGATGTAACTTGTAAGAAAGGAATCTGGATACGGAAGTCCACAGACTGAGAGTTATTTGATTTTGTTATTTGATAAAGGTTTTTGTGAGAGCTGTTCATGAAGCTAACTGGATGAACGAGATGGAAATCAGCATCTATGACTCATGGTTTGACCCAGTTGTTTCTTCTCTTCCTGGACTTATTCCAGATGCTTTTATCTATCTTAGAGCTAGCCCTGCTACTTGCCATAAACGAATGATGCTACGCAAAAGAGCAGAGGAAGGTGGAGTCAGCCTGGAATATCTGCGTGATTTGCATGAAAAGCATGAGAGCTGGCTTTTTCCTTTCCAAAGTGGAAATCATGGAGTGTTGTCTGTCAGTAACCCCCCTCCCCTTCACATGGATAACTCATTACATCCTGACATAAAGGATCGTGTATTTTATTTGGAGGGTAATCATATGCATTCCAGCATTCAGAAGGTACTACTTTCAAATGTAGAATTTAGTTGACCTTTGAACCTTGTCTGCTAGTTGCTTATTGACTTTATTGGCTACAAAACAGGTACCTGCGTTGGTTCTTGACTGCGAACCCACCATTGATTTTAGCAAGGACATTGAAGCTAAACAGCAGTATGATTTATTCCATTTCACACGCATACCATTTTTCATTATTATATTCTTCTTTTTAAAGCATGGCTCTTGTTTTCATGGTCATTGCAATTGATATTACATTACTATACTGACCGAGAAGAAAATTATATCTGAGGAACATTTGCAATGTAGAATTGGAATGAGAAATTGAGAATAAGAGAAACGATGTTAAATTACCAAGCCGTACTCTATTTTTCTGCTAAGCTTTACGTCTTGATTATGTGGTAACTTTCTTTCCATTATACTCTCCCTGATGAAATGAAAAAAAGCTTTTTGAAAGAATGAATGGACGGTTCCATTCTAAAAAGCAAATAGCAACTATAAAAGCTTTTCCGTTTGATTGCAATACTACATACTACATACTACATCCTACTTCCAATCTTTTATCAAAACCAACTAAACGCTGCTGTCAGCCTGATTTCTTTTGGGTGGGGGAGGATTTATACTTTTGTTTTGCACATTTGGAGGATGTATTATGTTAGTGAATTGTAAATGTATCTAGCCATCTAGGTAAATAAATGAGAACTAGTGTCTCGTAATTACTTGATACTTCAATTTACACTTGGTCATGGTCTCAGATTGTAAGTTCTTTTTTTATTATCAAGTATTAATTGGCCATACAAATTACTTCACATTTTGCATTTGGAATTCTGGGCTATAGTTCTCATCACTAGTTTGTTTTCTTGTCGATTGAGTGTAGCACTTATGTTGGTTAGGGAGTTAAGTGATACATGAGCTTACTTTGGAGAGTCCCAGGATCCATTAAAACTTCTTGACCTTCATTTCCATCTTATCGCATGATATTTAAGGGTCCCTAGCACCAATCATCTTTCCCACCCTTTCGATTTGCTATATGGAGTTGGTAACCACAGCTTGGTGGGACCCTAGCACCAATCATCTATTCCACCCTGATGATTTTCCGGCTTATAGCATGATAATTTAAGGGTCAATTTGACTAGAAACACAATGGTAGAATAGATCTTTGCATGGTGAATTGGATATGGAAAACACTTCAGATAAACATCCTCTCTACCTCTTAAGGGTAGAGGCAAGGTTTGCATACATCCTATCCCCATACACTATCCTCCATGGGTTTAGCGGATTAGTTTGATTTTTGTTATATGTGCCTATTTGTGTCGATAGTGCATACATTGGATTCATTTTGGTGGTGATGCCTATTTTAAATTGAGACTTGGTTTGACTTATTAATGTATTCTTTTCTATAAATTCTATGTGAAGGTATGCCCGACAAGTGGCCGAGTTTTTTGAGTATGTGAAGAAAGTAAAGGAAGTTCCCGCAAAAGACGTTGAAGCAAGCAGGGGTAGCCAATCACAGGTCATGTTGCCTCATGGAGGGTTATGGGTACCGTCACAGGGGAAGAATTTCCCGGAGTCGCTCAAATCTTTGGATTTTCGACGAGCCATGTCGTTCATGCCTGGACCTGGACCTGGACCTGGACCTGGGTAGTGGTTTGTTGATCCAATATGTGTTTGCTTGTACAAAGAATTTTTAACCATATTCCACATGAGGAGCATGGAAAATGGAAATTGGAAATTGGAAATTGGTTTAGGATGATTGTAGCTCTTTTGTTCAAATTTTAATCAAGGGCTTATCTTTGGAAGTTTAGCAGTTCTTTTATGTGGTACCCAATCTTTGTTTATTGAATGGTCAATCTTTGTTTATTGAATGGTGGAGGGAGGGAGGGAGGGAGGGAGGAAGAGATAGAAGTACATTCCACCTAGGGGTGTCTAGAAAAAGCCGAAGCTGAATAAAACACCCGAGCTGAATGAAGTTTGGGTTATTCAGTTATTTTTATTCATTTATATATCCTTGTTCGGTTTGTTTGGCGTAGTTATCTTTCTTCCTTTTGCTTTGGTTGAACCGAATAAGGAAATTGTATTATTATTTTGTGGAAATTACATGATTGGTCCTTGTTGTATACATTGTATTAGTGTCGAAATAGTGGAGGCATACATTCATTGATAACTGTATTCTCCAAAATTCCATATAGAACGAAGTAGGATGATTGTCTTTAAAATTTACCAAAACGAATGGTAACTCTGATGTTTCTAAATCTAAGCCAACAAACTAGCTCCTTGCCTCCTTTGTATGACAATATCCATGAGAATGATTAGAATCTAGTTAAAGTCCCACGTCAAGAGATGCAATCTTTCTTGAATGATAGATGCGGTTTCCATCTATTTGGAAGTTCTCGAATAATAGATTCGGTTTCCATCTATTTGGAAGAGAGAGAGAACTTGTAAAGTACAATGAGTGATTTGAATCAGTTGACGAATCAAGTAATCACATTGATTAACAATCACACTCACACACTTTCTCTCTATGTATATATATACCAGTGGTGTATCCGTACTACACAATTCTGAAACATTAGTTTAGCCTTGAATCATGAGTTTGTGTGATTATTTTGTAAGTCAACTAATATATAAAGTTGAAGGTTAATATGGTGTATTAGCAAAATCGAATGGAACAATAATTGCACACTTAATGAGTTTCTAACACATACTCAGAACTCATTACAAAGCTTGAAATTTTTGACTGAACAAAGAAATACAATCATTTGTAAATAATGGTCATTCGTATATCCAAATTGTTTAGTTTTCGTGATGCACTCATCCGTATATCCAAACTGATTGTCATTCTTGAAAACTAAACAAATACCTTAATATGTTAGCTATCAGTTCATTCAATTTTTTGCATTTTCTATATCAGACAAAGGAAAATGAATTAATAAAAAAGAGAGGCTAAAAGAGTAATATTATAAAAGGTAGTATTTGGTGCATCCACATGACCATATTGTTGGTTTTTCATATACTTCTTAAGAATCTAGTAGGAGTGCTTAGCGTAAAATAAGTTAGAGCGTTGATTCTTATCAGTAAGTGCTTACCGGGTAAAAAGAAACTCCTAAAAACCTATGAATATGTTGAAAAACCTCTTCAAAACCTCCTAATATAAAAACCCCTATTATGAGGCTCTAGAGGCTTGCTTCTAGAACATAGAGATTATTGATCCTCTCTCTCATTGATTTGAAAATAATTCTTTTTACCTATTTCGAAGTATTATGTTATCGTCTTTCAGTTCCAACGATCATCACTAAGTCTGTTTAGTGGTCGCTGAAACATGTATTGTAAATCCATCAGCGACAACGATACTTCAAGAAGACAAAACTCACACCAAAGAACCTTCAACGAAAATCGAAGACCGAGACTGAAAATTAGTGACTAGCGCGTTCGTGATCTGAAGCGACATTCAGCGATTACAACTTGGTCAACATATGTGTGAAGACTGCCCAAGCCTCAACGAATGCTGAAGAGACCTTCAGGGTTATTCCAACATTCAGTCATCAAATGAAGCTTGTTGTGTAAGATTGCTTTTGTCTTGTCCTTCCACACACAAAGGACAAACCCATACCCTTTCAAGAGTATAGTACGGTTCGGAGCCGATTAGTTGACTCTATTACCCACCAACTTCATGAAAGGATGTCTGCTCATAAATATGCATTTGTACTATTTACTGTAGCAAAGGACAAACTTTTTTTTAAAAGCTTGACGTGTGTTCAAACCCTACTGCATTGCATTAAATGTGTATTTAATGCAATGGGTATAAATAGATGTGTGCTATCTCCATGTAGAGATACTAATCCTTACGTGCATACATGAAAGAACACACACACATCTAAGAACACTTACGCTTATCTTCATACAAGTTAGAATCCCTCTCAAATATTCTAAAAGTTCTTACCCAGAAAGAACTTATTTCTTTTTTTATATTTCAACAAATCTTTTCTCTTTGCTAAGAATATTTGTGTGTAAACTTAGATTGTTTTAGATTCTTCTATCAGCGTTAGATACGTTGACAGTGCACCTTTACAATGCCCTGAATGGCAAATCTAGAGAAGAAATGCTAAATCTTGATCTTCAAAAACAGTTGAAGATTTCTCATTCCAAGATCAAAGAATTGACTAAGATCGAGGAAGATCTTAAAGATCAGGTCATTGTGAACCAAACCATCACTAGTGAACGTGAACACGCTATCGCTGAGCTTGAACAAGCAATTGCTGAACTCAGGGCTGAAAAGGCTACCATTGAAGGATGATGCAAAGCCTCTGTCAAAGCCTCTGAGATCATTAATGATCAGATCCATGCCAAGATAACGACTGGTCTAGGCTTCTCTTTTGATCAGAAAGATAGTGTCAAAGACAGGTCCATGCTCAAGTTTGGTACCTTTGTCTCTTCTATTCCTGACACTTCTTCCTCTCAGTCTTCTCTTACTGAGAGTCATTTTGATGGAACTCCTTCGAGTTTAGGTTTCAAAGACAAAGGTAAATCCATTGTCACAACACCTCTTCCTAAGAAGGTTAACAAGTCACATAGGTCTAAATCTATTTCTTCAGCTTGTGCACCTTTTTCTTCTTCAGGGACCAAGATATCTGAACCCTCTCAAAAATCTAAGTCTAAGCTCAAAGTGAATACTTCACCTAAGTACTCCAAATCCTCAAAAGTTCCTCCTAAATTAATGAGAAGGGAATCCTTGGAGCTTGTCCCTCTTCTACTCTTGTACTTCCTGACCTTAAAGCTAGCTTTAGCTATAGAAAGTGTAGACATTGTGGTGAAACTACACATATTGCCAGTAAGTGTCCTTCTGCCGCCAAGACTGGTCCCCTAGCCAAGGACAATAAAGTAGCTAAGGCTGAGAAATCAACCAAGGAGAAATCTACCACTGAGGTTGTTAAACCAACTAAGGTGAATAAATCCACTGAAGCCTACTCTTCAGGCTCAGTGAAGACAACTACTGACACTAAGTCTTTAGTGTTAGGTGTTGTTCCTAACACTGAAGCCTCTTCATCAGGCTCAGTGAAGACACCCACTGACTCTACTCCATTAGCGTCAGAGGTTGTTCCTAATCCCATTGAAGCCTCTTCTTCAGGTTCAATGAAGCCTTCTACTGACACTGGTTCTTTAGTTTAAGTAGATGTTGCCTCTAACATTACTGGACCCAAATAGAATGGGTACCAAAGCATTTTTAAACTGTTCCGCTTCAGATCACGTACGCGCCAGTCTCTAATCTTCAGTTTCAGTCTTCGAYGTTTGCTGAAGGATCTTTGGTGTGAGTGTTGTTTTCTTGAAGTAGTTGTCTCTGAATGAATTACAATGCGAGTTCTTCAGCGATCACTGAACATGCTCAGTGTATTGATCACTGGAACTGAAAGTACAAAAACATAAAATACATCGAAAGGAAAAAGGGATTATCATCAAATCACTGAAAGAGAGGATCAACAGTTTTCCTTGTCCTTTATTGGCTTGTCAAGGGATGTAGGCTTCATCATTGCATCCATGCTATCCTTGATCTTTTGGACTCGATCAAAGGGATGCTTTCTTTTTGGCCTGCTGCTTGCACCTTCTTCCTCTGCTCTGGTTGGTTTGACAATGACCCTCTGCCTCATAGCCGGAGTCACTACTCTGGTCCCTTGAGTAGGGACCCTAGCTCTGTGTGTATTCTTGTATGGTGGAGGAGCAACTACTGTTACGTTTTCAAGAGGAAAGACAACAGGAATGGCAAAGAGTGTTGGATCGGCCACATTCACTGCTACCACCTCTTCTTCTTGTCGTCTTGTTGGAGCAGCCATGTCCATGGCATATTTGGTTGAGGAAGATAGATCCAGTTCTGAATCAGATGAGTCGTAGACTGATAAGAGATCACTTACGTCTTTATTCTTTTGTTACCCACTTGGCTCTGCTTGGGATGCCATGGGCATCTTTCTCTTTCGAAGCGCCTCTGCTTGCTCTGGCGCTGGTTGACTTTGTGCTCTCTGCCTCGAAGAATCTTGCGCTGGTTGATGTGGGGCAGTATATGTTCAGAATTTACAGAAATGTAAATACAGTCAATGAAAGCAGATATAGAAAAGATTTACAAGGAAAAGTGGATTGTTGATACAAAGAGACGTA